TATGAAGAGAGAGAGAGCGAGAGCGCGAGCAATATGAAGAGAGAGAGAGCGAGAGCGCGAGCAATATGAAGAGAGAGAGAGCGAGAGCGCGAGCGATATGAAGAGAGAGAGAGCGAGAGCGCGCGCGATATGAAGAGAGAGAGAGCGAGAGCGCGCGCGATATGAAGAGAGCGACAGCGAGAGAGCGCGCGATATGAAGAGAGCGACAGCGAGAGAGCGCGCGATATGAAGAGAGCGAGAGCGAGAGAGCGCGCGAGATGAAGAGAGCGAGAGAGAGCGGAAGAGCGCGAGCGATATTAAAGAGAGAGAGACGAGAGCAGCGCCGATATGAAGAGAGAGAGAGCGAGAGCGCACGCCGAATTAGTGAAGAGAGAGAGAAGCGAGAGCGGCCGCGCTAATGAAGAAGAAATGAGAGCGGAGAGCGCGCGCCGCTATGAAGAGAGAGAGGAGCGAGAGCAGCCGCGCTATGAAGAGAGAGAAGAGCGAGAGCGCGCGCCGCATATGAAGACGCGAGAGCGCGCGGCGAATATGAAGAGAGCGACAGCGCGCTGATAATAAGAAGAGCGACAGCGGAGCGCAGCGCTGATATGTGAAGAGATGCGACAAGACGAGACAGCGGCGCGACTATGAAGAAGAGCGAACAGCGAGAGCGCGCCGCGATATGAAGAGAGCTGACATGCTGAGAGCGCGGAGCGAACCGGAATATGAAGAGAGGCGACAGCGAGAGCGCTGGCGCGATATAAGAGAGCAGAGCGAGAGAGCGCGAGAAGATGAAGAGAGGAGAGCGAGGAGCCGAAAGATTGAAGAGAGAGAGAGGACGAGCGCGAAATGAAGAGAAGAAGCGAGAGCGCGAGAGATAAAGAGAGAGAGATCGAGAGCGCGAGAGATGAAGAGAGAGCTACACCAAATCTAGAGTACAGAAATACAAGTAATACGTGTTTCCGATATCAAATGCGTGGATGCGTAGATGCGTGGCAAATTCATAAACAGCTAAGTAATAGCAGTAGCTGATGCATGTTCTGATGAATGTAGCCAATGTATAGGAATTAATGCTTACTACTTACCAGTAGCAGAAAGTCTCCTCGCTCCTTCTCCAGGCCTACGGTACCAGTGTGTGGAATATGAACTCTTACTTCGTCGAGATTTCACTTCATGATTCGTGAATATTAACAATATTCAATCACGCAGCATAGCGTAGACTGCCAACACTAAGCTCATTCACAAATATATGTGTGCAATAAGCGGGTTCCTGAATATTCACGATAGTTCAGCTCCTATGCGTGATGTGCACACTAGCTCATTCACAAATTATGTGTAACCCGCTTATTGCTGAATCTTCAGGCGATAGTTTAGTACGTTACTTTGTGCTGAAGGCCCGAATAGCCAATCGAATTAGCCAATCGGCCACACCCTACATGGTCAGCTAGCAGGGCGGGCAAACCACCAGCAGCTAGAGATCAGTGGGAGGGTAAAAGCTTCATTGCTAATGCTCACCAAACGGCGAGAGAGAGGGAGAGAGAGACAGAGAAAGAGAGAGAGCGACAGAGATAGAGAAAGAGAGAGTGAGACAGAGACACAGGGAGAGAGAACTAATCATACATTACTTTGTGCTGAAGGCCCGAATACAGTGGTGAGCAGTGTTTAGCCAATCGGCCACACCCTACATGGTCAGCTAGCAGGGCGGAGCAAACCACAGCGGCTAGAGATCAGTGGGAGGGTAAAAAGCTTCATTGACTAATCGCTCACCAAGGCGGGGTGAGCAGAGAGAGAGACAGAGACGAGAGAGCAGAGAGAGACAGAAAACACTAAACCACCAAAAATAGAGGGCAGACAACAAACATACAGGCATGCATACCAGTAATTGCACCAGAGAAACCATTGGCGGAGTGGCAGAGTGCGAGCGAAGAGAGACGAGTGGCAGAGTGCGAAGCGAGAGAGAGAGTGGGCAGAGTTGGCGACGCGAGAGAGAGAGAGTGGCAAGAGTGGCGAGCGCGAGAGAGAGAGTGGCAGAGTGCGAGCCCGAGAGCAGAGACGCTCGCCGCGCAGAGCTGCCCGCGAGCAGACGCAGAGTGGCACGAGTGCGCACCGCGACGACGCAGACGCAGACGTCCCGGCAAGACGTGCGAGCGAGAGAGAGGACGTGGCACGAGTGCGAGCGAGAGAGAGAGTGGCAGAGTGCGAGCGAGAGAGGAGAAGTGGCAAGTAAGTGCGAGCGAAGACGAGAGAGTGGCCAAGAGTGCGAGCGAGAGAGGAGTGGCAGAGTGCGAGCGAGGAGAGAGAGAGTGGCAGAGTGCGAGCGGAGAGAGAGCAGAGTGGGCGGAGTTGCGAGCGAGCCCAGAGAGCAGAGAGTGGAGAGTGCGAGGCGAGGAGAGAGAGAGAGAGTGCAGAGTGCGAGCGAGAGAGAGAGAGAGTGGACAGTAGTGCGAGCGAGGCAGAAGAGGCGTGGCAGAGTGCAGAGCGAGAGAGAGAGAGTGCGGAGTGCTGAGCCGAGAGAGAGAGAGAGAGTGGCAAGAGTGCGAGCGAGAGAGAGAGAGAGAGAGTGGCAGAGTGCGAGCGAGAGAGATGAGAGAGAGTGGAGAGTGCGAGCGAGAGGAGAGAGATGTGCAGAGTGCGAGCCAGACAACATACCAGCATCATACCAGTAATTGCAGCAGAAAAATAACCATCATCCAAGAAAAAAAACACAACGCACATACGTAACGGTGTTCACCAGCTCCCGAAACGCCCGCCAGCCACATTCCGGGTATTACCGGGGCGCTTTTATTACACTACCGTTGACCATACAGAGGGCCAGCAACAGATAAAAACACCCCGTATCAATGCACGTTTTATGTTTGTGCTGAGGGCCCGAATACAGTGTGAGCAGTGCGTAGCCAATGCGGCTCACACCCTTTAGCAGTGGTCAGCTAGCAGGGCGGGCAAGCCACCAGCAGCTAGAGATCACTGGGGGAGGGTAAGAAGCTTTCATTGCTAATTGCTCACCAACCGGCGAGAGAGAGAGAGAGAACAGAGAAAAGAGAGGACGCAGAGCGAGCGCTGCGCAAGCAGAGAGCGAGAAAGCGAGGCGAGCGCCGGCGCAACCCCCAGAGAGCGACGAGCGAGAGGCGACGGCCCGCCAGGCGCAACGAGAGAGGAGAGCGACCGAGCGAGAGCGCGCCGCAAGAGAGAGCGACGACGAGAGCGAGCAGCCCGCGCAAAGAGAGCGAAGAGCGAGAGCAGAGCGCGCGCAAAGAGAGCGAGAGTGGGAGCGCGACGCGCGCAGCGGGCAAAAGAGAGCGAGAGCGAGAGCCGCGCGGTGGCGGCAAAGAGAGAGCGAGAGCGAGAGCGGCGCGGCAAAGAGAGCGAGAGCGGGTCCGCTCTCAGGAGAATGAAGAGAGAGAGCGGAGCGAGAGCTGCGCGAGCTGAAGAGAGAGAGAGAAGAGCGAGAGCTGCGCGACGATTGAAGAAGAGAGAGCGAGAGCGATGAGCGCCGGCCGGACGATGAAGAAGAGAGAGAGAGGAGCGAGAAGCGAGCCGCGAGATGAAGAGAGATGAGAGAGAGCGAGAAGCGCGGACGATGAAGAGAGAGAGAGATGCGAGAGCGCGCGATGATTGAAGAGGAGCAGAGAGCGAAGCGCGCGAGAATTGAAGAAGAGAGAGAGAGAGCGAGAAGCGCGCAGAATGAAGAGAGAGAGAGAGAGGAGAGGCGCGCGAGATGAAGAGAGAGAGAGAGAGCGAGACGCGCGGCGAGATGAAGAGAGAGGAGAAGAGCGAGAGCGCGCGAGATGAAGAGAGAGAGACGAGAGCGAGAGCGCGCGAGATGAAGGCGAGAGAGATAGAGAAGCGAGAGCGCGAGATGAGAGAGAGAGAGAGAGCGAGAGCGCGAGATGAAGAGAGAGAGAGAGAGAGAGCGAGAGCGCGAGATGAAGAGAGAGAGAGAGAGAGCGAGCGAGCGCGAGACTGAAACGAGAGAGAGAAGAGCGAGAGCGCGAGATGAAGAGAGAGAGAGAGAGCGAGAGCGCGAGATGAAGAGAGAGAGAGAGAGCGAGAGCGCGAGATGAAGAGAGAGAGAGAGAGCGAGAGCGCGAGATGAAGAGAGAGCGAGAGCGAGAGCGCCGGAGATGGAAAGATGAGAGAGAGAGACGAGCTGGAGAGTGGCAGAGTGCGACGCGAGAGAGTGGCAGAGTGCGAGAGAGAGAGAGAGAGTGGCGAGTCGAAGGCCAGAGAAGAGAGAGAGGCAAAGAGTGCGAGAGGAGAGGAGAGAGAGGCGAGTGCGAGAGAGAGAGAGACGCAGTGGCTACGAGTCGAAGGCAAGACGAGAGAGAGAGAGTGGCATCGAGTCGAAGGCAGAGAGAAAGAGAGAGAGAGAGAGAGAGAGAGAGAGAAAGAGAAAGAAGCAGAAGCAGAAGCAGAGAGAGAAAGAGAAAGAAGCAGAAGCAGAAGCAGAGAGAGAAAGAGAAAGAAGCAGAAGCAGAGATAGAGAGAGAAAGAGAAAGAGAAAGAAGCAGAAGCAGAAGCAGAAGCAGAGAGAGAAAGAAGCAGAGAGAGAGAGAGAGAGAGAAAGAAGCAGAGAGAGAGAGAGAGAGAAGAAAAGAAGCAGAGAGAGAGAGAGAGAGAAGCAGAGAGAGAGANGAGAGAGAGAGAGAGAGAGAGAGAGAGAGAGAGAGAGAGAGACGACGACGAGAGAGAGAGAGAGAGAGAGAGAGAGAGAGAGAGAGAGCCAGAGAGCGAGAGATGAAGAGAGAGAGAGAGAGAGCCAGAGAGCGCGAGAGATGGAGAGAGAGAGAGCCAGAGAGCGCGAGAGATATGAAGAGAGAGAGAGCGAGAGTTCTGATGAATGTAGCCAATGTATAGGAATTAATGCTTACTACTTACCAGTAGCAGAAAGTCTCCTCGCTCCTTCTCCAGGCCTACGGTACCAGTGTGTGGAATATGAACTCTTACTTCGTCGAGATTTCACTTCATGATTCGTGAATATTAACAATATTCAGTCACATCACGCATAGGAGCTGCACACTAGCTCATTCACAAATATATGTGTGCAATAAGCGGGTTCCTGAAGATTCACGATAGTCAGTCACATCACGCATAGGAGCTGCACACTAGCTCATTCACAAATATATGTGTGCAATAAGCGGGTTCCTGAAGATTCACGATAGTCAGTCACATCACGCATAGGAGCTGCACACTAGCTCATTCCGTGCCACACTTAGCGTCATCCAAATAATAATGTGTGAATAAGCGAGGTTCCTTGAGATTCACGGACTAGCTCAGTCACATCACGCCCACAGAGAGCTGCCACATCTAGCTCATTCACAAATAATTTGTGCTGAATAGCTGGGTTCCTAGAATTCACGATAGTCAGTCACGTACGTTAGTACGTTCTTTGTGCTTGAATGCCCGAATAGTCCAATCCGATTTAGTCCAATCGGCCACACCTACGACTGTGATCAGTAGCAGGGCGGGCCATAACACAGCAGCATAGAGATCAGATGGAGGGTAAAGCTTCATTGCTAACTGCATTCAACCAAACGGCGGAGAGAAGGGAGAGAGAGCAGGAGAAAGAGAGAGAGCGCGAGAAGAGAAAAGAGAGAAGTGAGGCACAAGACACCAGGGAGGAACTAATCATACATTTTACTTATGCTGCTGAAGGCCCGGATACAGTGGCTCGGCAGTGTTTAGCACAATCGGCCACACCCCTACATGGTCAGCTAGCCAGGGCGGGCAAGCACAGCCAGCTATGCATGATCAGTTGGGAGGGTCAAAGCTTCAATTGCCTAATGGCTCACCAGGCCGGCGTGATCAGAGAGAGAGCAGAGAGACCAGAAAAACACCAAACACCCAAAATAGAGCAAGACAACAACATACAGCATCATTACAGTACTTCGACACGAAAAATTTACGAGAGTCGCTGGCAGAGTGCGAGCGAGAGAGGGAGGAGAGTGGCCGAGTGCGAGGCGAGACGAGAGAGAGTTGCAGAGTGCGCAAGCGAGAGAGAGAGAGTGCAGAGTTGCGAGCGAGAGAGAGCGAGTGGCGAGAGTGCGAGCGAGAGAGAGAGAGGCGAGTGCGACGGCGAGAGCAGAGAGAGTGGCAGGTGCGAGCGAGAGAGATGGCAGATGGCAAGTGCCGAGCGAGACTGAGAGAGAGTGGCAGAGTGCGAGCAGAGAGAGAGAGAGGCAGAGTGCGAGGCAGAGAGAGAGCGAGAGAGTGGCAGAGTGCGAGGCAGAGAGAGAGAGTGGCAGAGTGCGAGGCAGAGAGAGAGAGAGTGGCAGAGTGCGAGGCAGAGAGAGAGAGAGGCAGAGTGGCAGAGTGCGAGGCAGAGAGAGAGAGAGGCAGAGTGAGAGAGAGAGAGGCAGAGTGAGAGAGAGGCAGAGTGAGAGAGAGGCAGAGTGAGAGACGAGCAGAGTGAGAGAGAGGCGAGTGAGGAGAAGAGGCCCGAGTGACGAGAGCGGCACGAGTGAGAGAGGCAGGTGCGAGGCAGACGAGAGAGAGTTTTCAGGTGCGAGGCAGAGAGAAGAGGAGGCAGAGTGCGACGGCAGAGAGAGAGCAGGAGACGGCAGAGTGAGAGAGAGAAGAGAGAGAGAGAGAGGCCAAGAGTGAGAGAGACGCGAGTGAGAGCGAGAGGCCAGAGTGAGAGAGCAAGGCAGAGTGAGACTGGAGAGAGGCAGAGTGAGAGAGAGGCAGAGAGAGAGAGAGAGAACGAGGCAGAGAGAGAGAGAGAGAGAAAGAGGCAGAGAGAGGCAGAGAGAGAGAAGCAGCCAGACAACATACAGCATCATACAGTAATTGCACAGAAAAATTGGACTAACGAAATCCACACGTAACTCATAAGACACAACGACAACGTAACGGTGTTCACACCGGGTATGCCGGGGTTTTTATTACACACCAGCAGTTTTTATTACCAGCAGCTAGAGATCAGTGGGATGGTAAAAGCTTCATTGCTAATGCTCACCAAGCGGGCGAGAGAGGAGAGAGATACAAGTAATACGCGTTTCCGATATCAAATGTGTAGATGCGTAGATGCGTAGATGAAAGAGAGGAAGAAAGATATAGAGAGGGAGAGAAAGCGAGAGAAAGCGAGAGAAGAGAGAGAGAAAGCGAGAGAAAGCGAGAGAGAGAGATGAAGAGAGAGAGAGAGCGAGAGATGAAGAGAGAGAGAGATGAAAGCAGAGAGGAGAGGACCGCGACGAGATGAAATGGTAGACGAGAGGAGAGCGCAGAGAGCGAGAGATGAGAGCAGCGAGAGAGGCAGAGAGCGGAGATGAAGAGAGAGAGAGAGAGCGAGAGATGAAGAGAGCCGAGAGATGAGAGAGCGAAGAGATGAAGAGGCGAGAGATGAAGAGAGCGGAGGATGAAGAGAGACGAGAGATTGCAAGAGAGCGAGAGATGAGAGAGGCGAGAAGATGAGAGAGCGAGAGATTGAAGCAGAGCCGAGAGATGAAGAGGAGCGAGGATGAGAGCGAGAGATGAGAGAGCGAGAGATTGAGAGAGCGAGAGATGAGAGAGCGAGAGAGCGAGGATGAAGAGAGCGATGAGATTGAGAGGCGAAGAGATGAGAAGCGAGAGAGCGAGAGATGAAGAGAGCGGAGAGATGAAGAGAGCGAGAGTGAGAGACGCGAGAGATGAAGAGAGCGAGAGATGAGAGAAGCCGAACCGAACCGAACACAATACAATACAGAAACAATCAAATGATTAGAGAGAGAGAGAGAGGGGGGAATGAAAGAGAAGAGAACAGAGCGAACAGAGCGAGAGCGATAGAGGGGGAAGAAGGAGAGCGAGGAGAGAAGAAAGAGAAGCCGAGGAGAGCCGGAGAGCGACGACCTAATACTTAAACCTATATTCCGTGACCTATATACCAGGCACGGCATAAGTTCGAAACACTAAGACACAAAATCTGGCCTCTAAGTACTATAGCGCCGTATCGCTAAAACCAAATCTAGAGTACAGACAATACAAGTATTACGTGTTTCCGATATCAAAAGTGGCGTAATGCGTAGATCGCGTGGAAATCTATTAGCAATGTACTAGAATTAATGCTTACTACTTACCAGTAGCAGAACAGTCTCCAGCTTCGTTCTCCAGGTCTACAGGCTACCAGTGTGTGAAATATGAACTCTTTTGATTGGTTGGTTCTTCGCTCGAGATTTCACTTCATGATTCGTGAATGGGTTCCTGAAGATTCACGATAGTCAGTCACATCACGCATAGGAGCTGCACACTAGCTCATTCACAAATATATGTGTGCAATAAGCGGGTTTCTGAAGATTCACGATAGTCAGTCACATCACGCATAGGAGCTGCACACTAGCTCATTCACAAATATATGTGTGCAATAAGCGGGTTCCTGAAGATTCACGATAGTCAGTCACATCACGCATAGGAGCTGCACACTAGCTCATTCACAAATATATGTGTGCAATAAGCGGGTTCCTGAAGATTCACGATAGTCAGTCACGTACGTTAGTACGTTACTTTGTGCTGAAGGCCCGAATAGCCAATCGAATTAGCCAATCGGCCATGGTCAGCTAGCAGCGGCCGGCCGCAAAACCACAGCAGCTACGAGATTCAGTGGGGGTCCCGGAGGGTAAACAGCTTCATTGCCCTAATTGCTCACAAACGGCGACGAGCAGAGGGAAGAGAGAGAGACAGAAAGATGCGAGAGCGACAGAGATAGAGAAAGGAGAGAGTGAGACAGAGACACAGCGGAGCAAGGAGAAACTAATCATACATTTACTTTGTGCTGGAAGGCCTCCGAATACAGTCGTGAGCAGTTGTTTAGCCAATCGGCCACACCCTACATCGGTCAGCTAGGCAAGGCGCGGCAAGCCACCAGCAGCTAGATCTAGTGGGAGGGTAAAGCTTCATGCCTACATGCGCCTCACCAGGCGGCGGGTGACAGAGCAGAGGAGAGAGCAGACAGAAAAACACCAAACACCAAAAACTAGAGCAGACAACAACATACAGGCAGTCATACAGTAATTGCCCCACAGAAAATTAGAGAGAGCTCGGCCCAGCAGTGCGAGCGAGAGAGCAGCAGAGTGGCCAGACCCAGTGCGCAGCCGCAGAGACAGCAGAGTGCAAGAGTGCGAGCGAGAGAGAGAGAGTGGCGCAGGAGGGCGAGCGAGAGAGAGAGAGTGCCTCAGAGTGCCGGAAGCCGAGAGAGACAGAGTAGGGCCAGAGCTGCGAAGCGAGATGAGAGATCCGAGAGTGGCAGACAGAGTGCGCAGCGAGTAAGCAGAGACAGAGAGTGGCACAGTGCGAGCGAGCAGGAGAGAGACATTGAGAGTGGTGGCACAGTGCGAGCGAGAGCAGACGAGGAGAGTGGCACAGTGCCGGCAGGCGCAGGAGAGAGAGAGATGGCGACAGTGCGAGCGAGAGAGAGAGAGAGTGGCCCAGAGTGCGAGCGGAGAGCAGGGAGGTGTGGTGTTGGGTATGAGGAGTTGGCACAGTTGTTGCGATGATTTGTGAGGAGTATGCAGGTGGGAGAGAGTGCACATGTGGTGTGATGTTGTTCTGCGGTTGCAGGGTATGAGGTCGAGTTGTGTGTGCTGTGTTATGGTCTTGGTTTTATTGTGTTTTTGGGTGGCGTATAGAATGAGAGTGGTTGGTCTCTACGAGGTGAGTCGTGAGCGATGTGGTGTGTAGTGTGTATGATGTGGATGGAGGAGAGAGAGTGGCACAGTGCCGAGCGAGACCAGAGAGCAGTGGCACAGTGCGGAGCGACGATGGCAGAACGAGAGTGCGGCCACAGTCTGCTGATGGTGTGTGGAGAGGAGTAGGTGCAGAGCAGAGAGAGAGAGAGCTGTGTGGGGCGAGGAGTGTGCTGTGGAGTGTGTGTGCCCAGATGAGGTGCGACAGAGTGGCATGAGAGAGAGAGTAGCTGTTCTGGTGCAGAGAGGAGTAGGTAGTATCGTGGAGCGAGGAGAGTGAGAAGCAGAGAACAGAAGCAGAGAGAGAGCAGAGAGAGAAGAGGACNAGAGATGAAGAGAGCTTGTTCTCTCTCTTGTTCTCTTTTTCTCTTTCTTCCCCCCTCTCTCTCTCTCTCTAATCATTTTGATTGTTTCTGTATTGTATTGTGTTCGGTTCGGTTCGGTTTCTCTCTCTCGCTCTCGCTCTTGTTCTCTGAGAGCGAGAGCGAGAGCGAGACCTATATACCTATATACCTATATTCCGTGACCTATATACAGGCCACCGGCATAAGTTGAAAAACACTAAACACAAAATCTGGCTCTAGTACTATAGCCCGCGTAGTCGCTAAACCAAATCTAGAGTACAGAAATACAAGTAATACGTGTTTCCGATATCAAATGCGTAGATGCGTAGATGCGTGGCAAATTATAGCCAATGTATAGGAATTAATGCTTACTACTTACCAGTAGCAGAAAGTCTCCTCGCTCCTTCTCCAGGTCTACGGTACCAGTGTGTGAAATATGAACTCTTATTGATTGGTTGGTTCTTCGTCGAGATTTCACTTCATGATTCGTGAATATTCACAATATTCAGATGCCATCACCAGCATAGGAGCTGCACACTAGCTCATTCGCAAATATATGTGTGCAATAAGCGGGTTCCTGAATATTCACGATAGTCAGTCACATCACGCATAGGAGCTGCACACTAGCTCATTCACAAATATATGTGTGCAATAAGCGGGTTTCTGAATATGCACGATATTCACATCACGCATAGGAGCTGCACACTAGCTCATTACATAGCCTGTATCGGTCACTGTAGCCTGTTTTACATGAATGTGGGTTTTGAATGTGGGTTGTGACAGCAATAACACCAGCAGTCTGGAAAATCACCACGTCAAGGACAGAGACATTGCCGATAATCGCTCGTTCACACACGCGCGCGCGCACGCACGCACGCACGCACACATATATATGTAACTAACATGCCTTTTTCGCCGACAAGACGTTATTCCGGGCCTGATGTTCGGCCCGGGTATAGTTCATTGCAGGAACGACCACTGGACTAACGGAATAGCCAATCGGCCACACCCTATATGATCAGCTAGCAGGGCGGGCAAGCCACCAGCAGCTAGAGATCAGTGGGAGGGTAAAAGCTTCATTGCTAATCCTCACCAAGCGGCGAGAGAGAGAGACAGAAAGAGAGCGCGCGCGAGAGAGCGAGAGCTAGAGAGAGTGAAGAGAGAGCGAAAGAGAGCGAAAGAGAGCGACAGAGAGTGAGACAGAGACAGAGACAGAGAGAACTAATCATACGTTACTTTGTGCTGAAGGCCCGTATACATTGGTGAGCAGTGCTTAGCCAATCGGCCACACCCTACATGGTCAGCTAGCAGGGCGGGCAAGCCACCAGCAGCTAGAGATCAGTGGGAGGGTAAAAGCTTCATTGCTAATGCTCACCAAAGCGGCAAGAGAGAGAGAGAAGGAGCGCGCGCGAGAGAGAGCGAGAGAGAGTAAAGAGAGAGAGAGAGAGCGACAGAGAGTAAAGAGAGAGAGCGACAGAGATAGAGAAAGTGAGAGCGAGACAGAGACAGAGACAAAGACAGACAGAACTAATCATACGTTACTTTGTGCTGAAGGCCCGAATACAGTGGTGAGCAGTGCTTAGCCAATCGGCCACACCCTACATGGTCAGCTAGCAGGGCGGGCAAGCCACCAGCAGCTAGAGATCAGTGGGAGGGTAAAAGCTTCATTGCTAATTCTCAACAAGCAGCGAGAGAGAGACAGAAAAAGAGCGCACGCGAGAGCGAGAGAGAGTGAAGAGAGAGAGCGAGAGAGCGACAGAGAAGGTAAAAGCTTCATTGCTAATGCTTACCAAGCGGCGTGTTCCTCGTCTTGCCTAGTGTATCCTTGCAGCAGGAAGGCGGCAGCAGGCGGCGTGATCCTCGTCCTGCGTGGTGTGTCTTTAGGTAGACTCTGACTGAGCTCCGATGCAGGGCGGGCAGCTATATATACAGCCGTGAGGACATCACGTGGGCAAAGTCATGTGACCCCCACGTGTGATCTGCAGGTGTCCCGTCCAATTAAACCATAGGTCAAGTGGTGCCGCATGGCTTTCCCTCCCAATCCGCTGGCTACGAAGCCAGTTTCTCTACGAATCCGTGGCAAGGTTGAATCAAGGTACGAATCCGTGGCAAGGTTGAATCAAGGTACGAATCCGTGGCAAGGTTGAATCAAGGTTGAAGCAATAGGTTGAAGCAATAGGTTGTTTATTTAGCATTATTTTTCTTCATTGAGACGCTCCAAGTGCCTGTGACTGCGTAGGGGCCTGGAAGGGGCGTACTAACAATAGACTATATTGGTGGCTAGGCATATATTGTAAACATACGGACGGACGGACGCTCATGCCATTGTACAAGCTCCACCTGACTGTGTCAGATGAGCTAAAAAATGATGGTGATAAACACGAAATGTATTTACTACCAAAGTCTCAATGTTTGCGTATCCCTATCGACTAATAGTTCCACGTAAATGCGTGTAAATTCTATTTTGCAACACGCAACCTCCCCGTACGCACCCTGCTGTGCACAATCAACAGTATCACGACATGTTCCGTCACACTTATATGAGAGCAAGTATCAAAATAATTACCTTTATGATCATAAAAGTTAAATAACTTAGGGGGCCTATGCCATAACATGTAACATTACAAATAGGACTATATGTGTGAATCACGTGTTATCATGTATATACGTGTGTGCGTGAACAGGGTATGAACCTCAAATAATTTGTATAATATGTGTAATTAATTAACACAGCACTGATTAACACTGATTAACACAGCAACAAACAGGATTAAAAGTTTGTGCAAATTGATTAAATATCGGTACAAGTGTAATAAATTTACGTAGATCAAATACTGTAGATCAATTGTGTAGCCGTGACATATTCATGCATCGGTTACAGGGATGGCACGCTTAGGATGATGTTAGAACAGAATGTAAAGGTTAAATTACATTAATTAGCAAACGCAGAAACTAGCAGTATGTTTATTTTATGATAAATAAGTTTCAACAACAGCATGACTGCTTGGTCTAATTACTCTGTTTTGCCAAGTGAAATGGCTTAAGATTGCCACCAGGTGGCAGCATGTACCAAAAGCCAGAAAGCAAACTTAAGCATAGGAAACTATTATATGCACTCCTATATACAGAGTTATTTATGAGAGTAATAATCAAAATAGTCACCATAATAAGCAAAAATTCGATTAATTTTTTGCCAACATTATAATAGCAGCATGCATAGAAATAGGATTATATATGTGAATCATGTATTATAAGTGAAATGGCTTAAAATTCTCACCAGGTGGCAGGATGTACCAAGAGCCAGAAAGCAAGCTCAAGCATGGGTAACTATTATATAAACTCCTGTGTACATAGATTATTATTATTATTATTATTATCATTATTCCTATTTGGCCTTACCTCGATTTAACATGGGTACGCCGACCGAACTGTTGGGTATGCCAACCAACTTCATCTTACTACGTCCACACCACATACCTATGTGCGGGCGCGCGCACGCACATATATAAACGCGCTCGAGCGAGCTCACACACATACACACACTTATATGAGCGCAAGTATGAAAATGGTTAATTTTATCATCATAAAAGTTAAATAACTTATGCCAACATCAAGGAAACTCCAGTCTGTTCCAAAGGAGAGCACGCCAGCGAGTCACCTTAAAATGTAGGTCCCTAACCCTAACCCTAACCCTAACCCTAACCCTATCAGATAGTTACCAGGGTACGTTCCGGCAGTACCCTGGGGGACAGAGACCCTATAATGAGCAACAGTAACACCCTGATTTCAAGTGATTATTGACACCAAGGAATCTATATACATATCATAATACACTCCCCTCTGTTATAAAGCTAATCTGTGTCCTTAGCTCTGAGCACAATAGATACACTCAAACTAACCATAAGAAATGTTTGCTGTGGAAGTACAAGCCCAAAACACCCTCAAATAAACTGAAACTTCCACCCTCCCACCAAGATTAGGCCTGATCCTGATCTGTTGTTTTTTGTTTTGTCTGATTATTCACCCTGGAGGTGGTCTGGTTTTCACCCACATAGTACCTTGTGTACCTATATGGTGTTGATAGGCAGTTGTTTTTTACTGACAGGGCCATGGTGGCAAAGTACTGTGGAGGAATCGGCCGGGTTCACTGTGCTTCATGCAAAAGGGATCCAAGCTGGTTCGACCCAAGGACTCTGTATTTTACTATACTACTTACTTTGACGACTGCATCGGAGCAGGTCGTTTATTGGAGCTGAATGAATATAGGTAACCACATAACATCCATGTATAGCTTGTTGTTTTCCATTACATTTTAAAATATTATAATATATAAGTTACTATTTTATAATATTTCATTGTTACTGTTAGGCCTATGTCAATGTTTTATGTAGACCAAATTTGGGCCAGTCTGTCGAACCCATTTACAATTCCAATGGTGGTTAAAATTTGCATATAGAGAGCGCGTATTTCTGCTGATAGATGGCGTAACAAAATACCAGATTTCAGTACGGTTGTGGCCGGCCACATACCTACGGCAATTAAGTATATCTCGACATGAATTTCTGAGTAAGTATAAGTAATTATGCTGTGTTTGTGTATGTGAAACCTAATAAAAGGTTATAATTGTCATTTACTCTAGTTAGGATTATGCTCATTTACATTATCTTGACTATTTTAGCATTAATAAGTTAATTAGGACATTAATGAAATTTATTGAATGTGTCAATGGTTTTTAATGCTGGTTTGCTATTTCTGTTTAAGGGTTAGGGATGATGATTATGAGGAGGAAACCAAGGTTGAACCTGTAAGCTCCCAATTGGGTTCCAGTAGTGATGAGGGCAGTGAACGATTTGACAGCGCAACAACTTCCAAAAAAAGGTAACTGCTGTCTGTAGCAGAGGGTTTAGGATGCTATAAATATCTGGAATGTCTTTCCGTAGAAATGCATCTCATTGTGAAATAAAACTAAGGAAACGTGAGATTCACGTTACGAATCTCGTAATACGGCAAATTTTCGAGGCCACATCGCCCATTCCAGGGGCTTGCGCTACCCGTTATACAGTCCTAACCTGATGAACCATGTAATTGTTTTGGGTAAAAATTGCTGCACCAGATCAGAATAGCCTAGCTTGCTCTTATACTCACTGCACAACTAGATCTTCTGTCATTGCCAGATGTTTATATATGCTTTTCTTGTCTCATAAGACGAAACAAGTACACAGACAAGGACGATAATGGAATTGTACACTACATCAAGAAACATAATCTCTCCAATCAAGTTAGAGGCAGGGCCATGTGGGTCACGATGGAAAAGAAAAACGTACGTCGTGTAGATTTCTTTAGTGATGATGGACAGAGGAAACAATAAAGAGAACTCACATTTTTTCGGGGCCATAAGCTTCTGTCTTTTCCCACAATACATTGCTAAATATGCAAGGTTTCAGATCCTAGTTATCTTGCCACTATGTGGTGCTATGAACGTGATAGGAAATTACAGATATATGTTTGTACATAGAGTGAGACATTGAAACATGTCATGATTTCAGTGTTTGTATGCTATGAGACAACATGTAGGGGGTCAGCTCTATGCCTTGTTTTTATTCATAAGTAAGATGTATAAATAGCTTTCAAGTTGACTCTAAAAGCTTGAAATATTTCCTCGTGTTTTTTTACAATTACAGTCTTCATGTTTATGAGCAAACATAATCTGTAATTATTTTTTTCACCAGGTGGTACCGGGTCATACGTGGGAAAGCCTCAAGAGTAGGTACCTCCGAATCATTGTAAAAAAGTCCCCACAGTAGGCGTCCACAGTCAAAGTTTCCAACACATTGGTCGCTGATCAGGATGTCTTTGTGTTTAATCCACTATTTTAGTAACATCTTTTATTTGCAATTGAATATTGGAAAAAGTACTCAATGTTAGTGGAGTGGGTGGTTCCACACAGTCATAAATTGTCCTGTGCCCCATTGTCAAATAAATAATAGATAGTTATGATAGCCTAGTCTTATGAGAGCTTAACTCTTGATGTTTCTAAAGTGTAAAATATATGCATTATGTCCTGGAATTGTCTTGTAAAAATTATCCCAAAATGAAATTCCATGAGGTGGGAGCTGCTGTCCCTTATAGAGTGCAATGTCTGTATTGTTTATTACATAAACAATTTTCGTAAACTCAGCATGTGTAATATGTGTTTTGTTTCAATAATTATTATTTTTGTCTCAACTGTGGTTTAAACAACGAGTTTGCATGTTTATAGCTTATATATAGGTAGTATTTTGTATAAAAATAACAGTTAACAGTTTATTGTGATATATCTACTACGTTGTGTTCGTGTTTCATCTTTTATCTTTGTATTTGTTTTACATTATTAGGATATTTCTACAGTACTACTTAAACATGAACGTACAAATAAAATTGGAATAAAATGAAAATGGTTGTGAAATCAAAATAGAAATGAAAATGAATTTGAATAAAAATGAAAACGAATTTGAAGGAAAATTTAGCAATAACGCGTCTCAGCCACATATAAAGAGTTCCCAATATTACTTGCAGTGTAAAGCCCGGCGCACACGTGAGTTATTTTACTCAGGTAAAATGATGCATGAGTCATTTTACTCAGCGTGTGCGATGGATTTTCGTTGAGTAATTTGACGGCATTCAATCATTTTACTCAATATAAAAGCCCGGT